TAAGAGAGTTATCTGTTTCTTTTCGTCTTGAATTGTTGTTCGATGTTGTTTAAACATAGACATTTCAAGATTTCTATATATTTCTTAGTTTCGGTTCATTTATGAGACAAGCTCCAATTCACGAGCAATGCAAGTTATATTGCGCTGGGTTATATTGCCATGTCCTGCATTGTCTGCTTATATTGCCATGTCCTGATTATATTGTCTGCTTTAGCCTATATTTGCTTATTCATTAAATCCAGGTAACTGGTTGACGAAACATTTATTAAAATTAAGATACAATTCATACAAAAACTAAATTCACAAAACTTAATATGGTCAAAATTAGGTGTCCCGATATATTGTGCATATGCACGCTGTTCACTTTTCATAACCAACATAGATTCAATAAAAAAAAAACGTTAACACTTTACAATAAGGTTCATTAGTTAACATTAGTTAATGTATTTACTAACATGCACTAACCATGAGCAATGCATTTGTTGCTGCATTTGTTCATCTTTGTTAATGTTAGTTCATGAAAATACAGCTGTTCATTGTTTGTTCATGTTAGTTCACGGTGCATTAACTAATGTTAACAAGATTTTAATCAAGTATTAGTAAATGTTGAAAATAACATTAACAAAGATTAACAAATGCTGTATATGTGCTATTCATTATTAGTTCATATTAACTAATGTAGTTAACTAATGTTAACTAACGAACCTTATTGTAAAGTGTTACCAAAAAAAAACATATTTAAACTTAAATATTAAACTTAATACATTTCTTTAATTCAGGGTCCACCAACTAAAATTCAAGGCTTTTTAAGACCTTTTTAATACCATTTCAGATGAAATTCAATGCCAACTTCGTACCCATTCCGACAGAAGTAAGAGGGGGAAATGTCAAATCTGTATACATTTCAAACCCTAGAAAATAATTATGTACAAGGAGGCTACTTGGAATTAAATAAAACATTTTACTAAATTATCAGTCATATTTAATACATACACAACAACGTTAGCTCGCACGTGTGTGTAGGCCAGTGATAATTTTACTTATTGGTCTTAATCACATTTGAATCATCCTGTTTCTTATAGTTGTAGTTGACGAAAAGTCTTAGCATTTTTTGTCAACTTTTAGTCAAACTGCGGTTACTTTACTTTATTAATGTAGTCTTTAGGCATAAAATGTCATAATTATTCTCTCTAGGCCAATTCAATTAAGCGTATGATAAATTATTGATATTGCACTCTTTAGCAGTAGCACGTGTGCAGTTCTACATAGTTATCCCTTTTCCTAAGTTCAGTGGTTCTCCAATGTTTTAGAGCGCCGTACCCCCTGTAGCCCTCTCTCTTCCACTTGACTAGCCTAGACTGCACTCACACCTTTTCCATTCAGGGACAATATTTGTCCCTTTTAATCAATTTTTCCATTTCATTTTATTTACCTTTATAATACCTTTAAAAAATGCTTTAAATAAAACAATGTTCATTAAATATGCAATGTTAAAAAAACATTAAAATCGCCATGGTGGCGGTAACTCGCTATCTTTATGATTGAGTCGAGTCATTCATTCATTGAATCTCACGATTCGTTCAAAGCCACATATTTCGTAATAGAGCAAGCCTGACAATGCTGTTTTAAATGTAGTAGGCTACATGTACATCACTTAATGTTACCATTAATCTTTTCTTTTTTACTATTGTATAAAATCAATGTCACATTTGAAATCGTTTAGATATAAACATTGCATTCTTCTGCTGAATATCAGCCTGCGTTTTGATCGCAGATTTAGTCGCACAAACAGCGCAAGCGGCTCGTTACAGAACACAGACCGACTGAATGACACTTTAATTTAAGTAGAAGATCGCTGCACTCCAGCTTGTCTGTGTTTTCAGATAATCCGCGCTTCTTCAGCAGTGCGCGCGCATGGTTGCCAGATAACGTTACTAGGCTATTGAAAATATGTTCTTTTAACAGAAAAGCTCTTATTTGGGGTTTAAATTCTGTCATTTGTGGCCACAGTGGATTAAACAAGGCTAGCTATCTTGTTCTGTACCTCACTTGCAACCATAAGGGTGCGCACGCGATCCTTTTTCGTAGAGTGCGAGGGTTCACTCAACGCTGCATACATTTAGAATTAGCCTACATTAGTTAATTTTGTTACAGTATGAACTTAATCCTAGGAAAGGCAAAAAAAAAAAAAAAGAAAAAAAGAAAAGAAAAATAAGACCTTTGTAACTCGCAGTAATCTAATAGGATATGATTAATTTTGCCATTTTGTCCCCCTATCTGGTTCTGTATGTATGTAAGAAAGGCTGTAGAACTTCCATTTATAATTTGTTAGTTTATTGGTGGTACAGAAAACGACACAGTAACTCTTCGGCATGATTGTCCTATGTATTTCAATGAGCGCCAAGGCAATGTTTTCCCCCAAGGGCTAAATAATTCACATCACGTGACGGGGCGTGTGAACGCCCCCGGGTTTGATGTGAACCGCAGTGGCCAACTGGTTGGGTCATTGACCCAGTTTTTAATTAAATAAGGGCAATCATAACCTATTACAGTTAATTTTGCAATGTACCGTTACCGGTCGGCAGCCATAAATGACTCGCAATATGACATTTTTGTCATTCAAATACATGTGATGGTCGCGCTGCTTTCCCCCACGCCGACCACGCCCCCCAACTATGACGCGTTGCCGACTGTATTTGAGACGATCAAATTCAAGACTTTTTCAAGGCTCTTAAGACCTGCGGGTACCCTGTAATTGCTATTGCACCTAACCTACAGAGAAATGTAATGTCGGAGTGGAACATTACACAAATTTTTAAATAGCCGTAATAATCAAATCATTTCCCATCGATCATCGAATATTATTTTTGCTTTAAATCCCCATCCCTACAAAATACGAAATGTCTTAATCAGACAACAGACCAGCACCATAGCATACGAAAGAAAGTATAGGCCTAAATAAAATAATAATAATACAAAAAAAATATTCCAAGTAAATAATTATTATATAAAGGAATACAATAGGCTCAGTAGTTTCTGCCGCATTATAATAATATTATTATTATTATACAAGCAGTTCGGCAGTTGTTGTTGCTGTTTTCTGATTTTCATATATTCAATGAATCTCTACGCATTGCTGGATCTACAGAGAAGCTGCCATTGAGAAAGCGACAAGCCAGCTTAGGACAGCGCCTGAAGAAGCCGGCCGTCTTCGCCACCTTCAGTCATCTGTGTGAGCTACGCTATCCGGCGACGTATTCTTTCTTGCAAAACTTACTGTCTAAAAGAGCAGCAAGTGTCTTTTTCAAGATGCCTTGCACTTTCACATGCAGCTCTCGCCCTCTCAAGGGGTGGTGTGCTCTGCGACACACTTCCGATGTCGACCCTGCAGGCTTGGCTCGAAGTGTTTAACCACTGAGTGAAAAATTCACTGGTATCAGTATTGTTCAATACTCAGAATTTTTGGTTTGAGGATTGTCCTCAAACAGAGCACTAATCTGTTTATTTTTAAGTTACACATTCTACATTGATTAAAAAAGAAACACATTTTATACAAAAATGTTTAACTCTAATGAGAATAAAGTTAGCATTGAAAATTTTATGGAAAACATACAGTACATAGGCTATTGATCTAATATATGTAGCACATACCTAAGGCTAATGAACAGGCTTGCGATGTCAAGATTGCAATTCTGGAATGTGTGTGTGTGTGTTTTTGTGTGTAGTGCAGGCGCGATTGAACAGTGTACACATACTCCGTCATTTTGCAAACTGTTTACTTACAAGTTGAAAAAGTTTGGCATGAATAAAATAAACTTAAGAGGAGTGAGTAAAATGTAAAGGCTGGTTTTGCAAAAGATCCGCATTCAGACCAAAATAGCCGACTTCCCGTTGGGCTGGCTTAAAGTATTTTGGCCCGATGAGAATCTATATAGGCTATGTACCGAGTTTCATATCAAACACACATGCAAGTGTGTTTGATTTATGGACCAAATTTTCAGACTAAGTTTATGTACCAAGTTAATTTAATTAATAAACTAATTATATAAAACTATTGTCAATGCACTACAATTAAACTGGTTATATGTCTTTACTAATATATATATATATATAAAAACTTATTTAAAAAATACAAGGCTTAAGACATTTATTTTCTTTTATGCAGGCCAAACACACAGCAGTGAAATGGTTAATCTAGCCCCTTTGCACGTCTACTGGCTAATAAATGTGATGTGTCTGACGAGTTTCATACAATTTAAAGCATGCTAAGAGTCACAAAAGCATCCTAAAAGAATTGTTAAGTTTAATGCGTTGCCACGACAACAGTATCAAAGATATCAAGAATCCATTCATAGGTCTACATCTGCAGTATGTTTACATTATACAGATGAAGTTTGAAACAAATCGGGTTAAAATAAGAGGGTGATTTCAAAGCATTTTGAAAGTGACACACTTCCTGCTGCCAGTTGGTGGCGCTATAACTTTGACTCACAATAGTCACATCCATGTGATCGGCCTCTTACAGCGAACACACTGCTGAAGTTTCATCAAGATCAATTAATGTAATTCTAACTCAGCAGTTGGAGCAGTAAAGTCATAATCCTCCCTCAAGTCTCTAGTTTAGATTTGTCTTTAAATAAGTAAATTAGTTATTATTATGTAATAGCTGATCCTTTTGTCATTCACTTATCTGTTCAAAGAGTTAATGATACATCTGCACCTGCTATTCAAGAGATTTTAACACCAGCACCTACCCACCCAGTTTCCTGTATGCTATTCTAGGGCAAAAGTTTAAAAGTCCTTAGTAGATTTGAAATTAAGCATCTTATCATTTGCTGGCACATGTTTATTTAAGCCACTAAGTGCTGAATTAAGTAAATGTATTGCTCTGTTTGCATTATGTATTAAAAAGAGATTGTTTTGTTAATTTAATTATTTATGTTTTGTTCATTATTACTGTAATTGTTAATTAATATTGATAAGGCACTTTCCATTTACAGTTCTCAAGATGTTCAAGGGCTACCATATGAAGTCCAGAGGGCCAAGGAAATCAATCAGATGTTTGGACCCAAAGGAAGCTCAGATGCATATGATGTCATCTTTGATCTTCACAACACAACCTCAAACATGGGCTCCACCCTCATTCTGGAAAGCTCAACAGACCTCTTCAACCTTCAGATGGTGCATTATATCAAAGTAAGAAACTAGTTACAACTATACTGTACAAAGTTATTAAATCAATTTAGCATTTTATTTTCATTTTTTTTCCAGCAAGATCAAAAATGGCAGTAAAGACAGTTATAATGTAACAAAATATTTCTATTTTAAATGCTGTCCTTTTGAACTGTTGATTAATCAAAGAATCATGGAAATTCAGCTTTTTTGCCATCACAGGGATAAATTACATTTTAAAATACACTAAAATGCAAAATGGTTATTTTAAATTGTATTATTTTGCAATATTTCTGTTTTTACTGTATTTTTGATCAAATAAATGTAGCCTTGGTGAGAATAAGTGATTACTTTCAAAAATGTAAATCTCACTGAATCTAAATCATTTAAATCTAACTGACCTAAACATTTGTTGCATGTATCCTATACTGAGCATTAAATTATTTACCAAAACATACCAATACCCACATTTTGCTTAATATCATAAAATAAGAGCTTAAGTAAATAATCTTTACACAGACACCTGTGCTCTTCCTCCCTTACAGAAAGCTATGGCCCCCCAGACCTGTTCAGTACTTTTAAATGAACACCCACAGCTGAAGTATTCAACCACACGTTCTGTGGCCAAACACCCAATTGGTAAGTACAAAGTTGTGTAAGTGCGTGCACATGCGCATTAAGAGTTCATTCTATAGGTATGCACGTTTGAATATATGTGCACAGGCATATAGAGTGAAAAAACCAACCCTCAATAAACTACTTTATAATTTATAATAAAATTTTATAATACAGAATTTTATCGTTTCAACGTGGCCATGTGAACCGGAATTATTCTGACAACGATTATCTGTACAGAGGTAAAGGGAAGGAGGCTTTCACAGGGATGGACTAGTGACACTTGTCGACACTTGTGTGTTTTTGAATTTTTTTTAATTCAGAAATGCGCAACAAAACATTAACAGATTTCCCTAACATTAGCTATTTGTAGTTATTTATGAGTTTTAACTAAATTAATATGATAATGCATTTTAAAAAGAAACGTGTTTCTTTTATTGTCACAACAGAACAGACTGATGATAGTGGCATTAGCTAGCTTATGGTTAGCTAGTCTATGATGAGCCATAATTTAGCAATGGATTACGTCATACTGCAAATAGTAAAACATACATGAGATGATACGTCTCATTGCTATAACTGTCACGCGCTATTAAAGAAATACTTCAGTCACATTGTCAAAAGTTAAAAGGACAGTCAGTCAACTACACTGTAAAACAACGTAACGTAACTATTACTAGCTAATTCTGCTTCACTCTCGGCTTATTTAACAGCAGCAAAACTGGACATGATAGTCACAAATTTTGTCATGCTTATTTGAGTTAAAGGAGAACTCCGGCGAACAATGAACCTTTGGTCTAATTAAACATCGGTACATAGTCAACCGTTCTCTGAGATTTGTTTTCATGTATCGAATGTAAAGAGTTTTATCTCTAAAAACAGTTTAGCGTATAATGCTAGTAATAGGGGCATTGACTAAGTGTAAAAAGAAATCACTAGTTAATACCACTAACAAGGCTCAAAATAGCCCCACACTAATGCAGTAACATAACGAGGCTCCATACATGCAAAACGAAGCATTGAGAACTTTGTAAGTGTACAGACCGTTTAATAAGAAGATACTTTATGAAGACAGTTCACTTCGCGTATACAAACAGGAGCCATCTTTAAAATTGTCTCGATAAGTCAAACCACGAACGTCGTGCTGAGTGAGCTGAACTGTATGAAGTTCAGCAAACTTCTGAACTGTATGAACGGCGTTCGGGGATCGACTTATCGAGACTATTTTTTAAGATGGCTCCTATCTGTATACACGAAGTGAACTGTCTTCATAAAGAATCTTTTTATTAAAAGGTCTGTACACTTACAAAGTTCTCAGTGTTTCGTTTTGCATGTAGTGACCCTCATTATGTTACTGTGTTAGTGTAAATTGAATAAATTCAATTTAGCTTTGAATTGACAGAGTTTGTCTGCTTCCCGGACAATGTTAGGAAGACTGTTCCAAAGTTTTAAATAGGGTGCTAAATAGGAAAAGGATCGTCCGCCGGCAGTCGATTTGAATATTCTAGGTATTATCAACAGGCCGTAATTTTGAGATCGCAATTGTTACAAACTGCTCCGAGACAAGAAGATGGTTGAGGATCCAAATGCAGTTTATTAAGGTTAATCCAAATCTTAATCAGAATCAAGGCAAAGGTCATACACAGGTAGTGATGTTACGTCTGACACCGACGCTCCGAAGCTTGCTTCAAACTCGAAAGGTCCTTGTAATGAACCACTGCTTTGGAGCTTGTATCATTACCTCACTAGTCACGTGAAAATGACGTCTGAAGCAAACACACTGGTTCACTTCATAGTGAACCGCCTGACTGCTTTGACAGCCCGATCCAGTGTTGACAGGTTTGAAACCTCACGGCTGCATTTCTCATAAAAGTGAAGCCAAACCATGGCAACACCGTGGGTTAATAGTACTCGGTGTTTGGATTGGCGTTATTATTGAGAGTGGATTGAGTTTATTTTAGTGTTGTGATGGAGCCATCGAGAAAGTCGTTTGCAAGTTTGGGAACACTTTAAACTTATTTTCCCGAATAAGATTAGTTCTACCAGAAAGACTCGGGAGATAAAATGATGTAACAAAGCATCCATTTATTGACAGCCCAGCAAGCAATTATTTTCAAAGTATTTTGGCGTAGGCCCCGTCCATAGATCGTAATCCGAGGGTAGCAGATCAGCATTTCCTGCCTGAAGACGAAGGCAGGGGCGCAGCCGATCCCCCGGGAAGTGTAGACGGCACCAACCTGGTGGTGGTGGGGAGGGTGGAGGTTGTTGTCGCGTCGGCATCTGCGAACTCAAACATGTGTAAGTACCGATCTTTTATACCACAAGAATAAGAACATGATTGGATAACCTGAATGTAACACGTGACGCGGTAATTAAGTCTTCCTGGCAGAACTTATGCTAAAGCTTTCATTTCTACCAGAAAGACTCGGGAGATAAAATGATGTAACAAAGCATCCATTTATTGACAGCCCAGCAAGCAATTATTTTCAAAGTACTTTGGCGTAGGCCCCGTCCATAGATCGTAATCCGAGGGTAGCGGATCAGCATTTCCTGCCTGAAGACGAAGGCAGGGGCGCAGCCGATCCCCCAAAAGTAGGTGGATTGTAGATCCATCGGGACGGGGCCAGCCTTTCCCCCAAAATTGTTGTCATGAATCCTAAATGTTCCTAAAAGAAAAGGGAGATACCATAATTAGCATGATGAACATTAGTCATATACCCATGTATACACTAAGTAGACCACATGGATATGATCACGATAATCCAGACATGGACGGGTCTCGATAGCCCACAGATACAGGCATAGACAGATCTTGATAGACCGCACAGATACAGCCAGTAGACCACAGATACACCACGATATGCCAGACTTCGACTGGACGCTATAGACCACGGTTCACCAATCTCTGCCCCAGAGGGCCACCAGAGCCCAGCTCCGACCCCGATCAAAACACACGCACCTGTGAGTTTCTACTGATCCTGAAAACCTTGATTCGCTTGCTCGGGTGTGTTTGATCAGGGCCGGAGCCAAACTCCGCAGGGACGGCACCCCCCCAGGACTTAGACCGGCGAACCCCGCGATAGACTGTAGATACAGCCCCGAAAGCCAGACGCATACTGGTCTCGTTAGACCACGCAGATATAGCCACGATGGCCAAACATGGACAGGTCTTAATAGAACACGATAAAGCCACATAGGCCGGACATAGACAGGTCTCGAAAGACCACATATACAACCACGAAAGGCCAGACATAGAGAAGTCTCGATAGACCACAGATACCGCCACAAGGCCAGACATAGACAGGTAAAATACACCACAGATACAGCCACGATAGGCCAGACAGGTCTCGATAGACCACAGATACAGCCACGATAGGCCAGACATAGACAGGTCTCGATAGACCACAGATACAGCCACGATAGGCAGACGCAGACAGGTCTCGATAGACCACAGATACAGCCACGATAGGCCAGACATAGACAGGTCTCGATAGACCACAGATACAGCTACGATAGGCCAGACACAGACAGGTCTCGATAGACCACAGATACAGCCACGATAGGTAGACGCAGACAGGTCTCGATAGACCACAGATACAGCCACGATAGGCCAGACGCAGACAGGTCTCGATAGACCACAGATACAGCCATGATAGGCCAGACACAGACAGGTCTCGATAGACCACAGATACAGCCACGATAGGCCAGACACAGACAGATCTCGATAGACCACAGATACCGCCACGATAGGCCAGACACAGACAGGTCTCGATAGACCACACATATACGTAGCTATGATGGCCAGACATAGACAGGTCTCGAAAGACCACAGATACAGCCACGATAGACCAGACATAGCCACGATAGGCCGGACATAGAAAAGGTTTCGATAGACCACAGATACAGCCACAATAGGTCAAACATAGAGAAGTCTCAATAGACCGCAGATACAGCCACGATGGACTCTATGCACGGCGGGATTTCCGGTGAAGGTTTAAGGATGCTCAATAACTTCCGCCGATCGTAGAGTCCGATGCAGTACCGATAATTTATATTGAATTTATACTCCATGTTTTAACAAAAAAACGTTAGTCACGAAAACAGATTTTTTAAATAAACATAACTATATAAAATTTACATTTGAACATATGAAGGTTTTGTTTCAAAGACGAGAGGACAGTAAATTTTGAAGACTCTGCCATAATCCCGTTTCCTCGGTTTTCCTCCGCTTTAATCTTCCCAACCGGAAACTGAAATGCGGAACTTATGCATACATATAGCCCATAGGCCAGACATAGACAGGTCTCGTTAGACCACAGATACGGCCACTATAGCCAGACGTAGACAAGTCTCCATAGACCACAGATACAGCCACGATAGGCCAGACATAGAGAAATCTTGATAGACCACAGATACAGGTGTAGACAGGTCTCGATTGACCATAGATACAGCTACAATGGGCCAGACAAAGACAGGTCTCGTTAGACCACGCAGATATAGCCATGGTGGCCAGACATAAACCGGACTCGATAGACCACGATACAGGTATATATATAGACGTTTCGATGGACCACAGGTACAGCCACAATAGGCCAGACGTAGACAGGTCTTATTAGACCACGCAGATATAGGCATGATAGACAGATCTCGAGAGACCACAGATACAGCCGCGATAGCCAGACTTAGACTGGACTTGATATACCAGATACGGCCATGATAGCCAGACATAGACAGGTCTCGATATACTATAGATACAGCCACGAAAGCCAGACACATACCAGTCTCATTAGACCACACAGATATAGCCACGATGGCCAGACATAGACAGGTCTCCATAGACCACACGGATATAGCCATGATAGGCCAGACAAGACAAGGTTTAATTGTATATGAATAAATATATGGCTATGGTGCCGCTTAAAGACAAGGCCACGCAAGACCATTGCCTGATACCACCACCAGTAATTGTATAGAATTTACCTGAATATCACTGAAGAGCTTGCTGGGCTTCAAGGATGATTGGA